GAGGGTTGAGGGTTTGGGGTTGGGGGTTGAGGGTTTAGGATTGAGGGTTGAGGGTTTAGGGTTTAGGGGTTTAGGGTAAACTTCGCCAAGCCCGTCCGGTGACGCCTTCAGTTTAGGGATTCCTTCATGAAGTTCATGGTTTGGGGTTGAGTGTTAAACTCTGAAACCTAAACCCTAAAGCCTAAACCCTAAACCCTGAAGCCTAAACCCTATAGGCTTTGGGGTTTAGGGCTTCGGATTAGGTTTTGATCTAGGTTGGGTCTTCCAAGTTGTGAACTCTCGTGCTTGGGGTTTCGGAGCCTCAGAGTGTAGCACCTAGGCGTAACTCTCCAAAGAAGGATTTAGGGCCTTTAGTGTGTAGTTTGTGGGGTTCTTTTGGGACGTATTCTTGGGGCACCCTAAGCCCTAAACCTTGAGCCCTGAATTATTAAGCCCCAAGCCCCACGCTCCAAGTCCGAAACCCTAAAGGCACAAATCCTAAACACTAAACCCCATCTGAGGTCATCAAGGACCTTAACGATGAAGGTCGCGTGAAGGTGCAGTTTCCTAAGGGAGGATGGCGCTTCAAGCCCAGTCAGATGGCTTCCCGGCAAGCTACTTCAGTATGGTTTAGGATTCCGGTTTAGGGGCGAACGGTTTACTGGTCCCATTGTGCGTGTTTTTCAGATTGTGGGGACGCTGCGGCTGATCTGGTAATTGTGATTCTTCAGGATTTCGAGACTTTTTTGGCTCCTCGGTTGTAAGATGTTTCGTTGTTGTGACTGTTAGGGTTTGTTTGTTTTCGTCAGGGTGTGTGGGGCGGTTATGACATTCCGAAGTGATGGAATGCAATCACTGCGACTTCGTTTCGTGTGTTAAATCATAACTATGCTATGTCAAAATCGTGTTCTTATCAGCGAGATAATAGCTTAAGTTTCCTTAACTGTACCCCAAAACGATTCTAATTCCAAAGGCTAGATATAGTCAGGAAGTCTGAGAAAAGATACAGGCACTAACTCCGACTTCCCCGGTTGGGGTTTAGGGGTTCGCGGTTTAAAGGTGAAGGGTTTCCCACACCCAAAGCCCCAATGCCCGAGCCTCAAACTCGCAATGCTGTGACCGTTACCTCCGAATGCCATCAGCTCCTAAACACCTGTAGACATCTAAGAACGAAGCCATCCCAACACACACTGTGAGCAAACTAAACGCAGGCCTAAACCCTAAACCCTAAACCCTAAACCCTAAACCCTAAACCCTAAACCCTAAACCCGAAGCCTTCCCACCACACCTGACATCCCAACCGTCAACCCTGAACCCTAAACCGCTTTAGGGGGTTTAGGGTCTGGGGTTTAGGGTTTAGGGTTTAGGGACAAAGCGAGACCATGGGTTTTGAATTTAGGTTGGGGTTGAGGGTTCGGGGTTTGGATTCAGGGTTTCAGGTCTACGGGATACGGTTAAGGGGGGCGAAGATCCCGAAGAGCCCAAGTAAAGCCAAGAAAGTAAAGAAGCAAGAGAGCACCTGATCAAATGCAAAGGTTGAGGGGTAGCTTTAAGTATGGGTGTACGTAAATTGGTGTAGTTGCCATCATTTTAACCCGATCCCGAGGTTCGTGCTCACATTCAGCCCCTGTCCTATGTGCAATGGACGCACCTCGGTCGCACAGGGTTAACTGAGATTCTGCGGGTTTCGGTTTAAGGGTTTAAGGGTTAAGTTTTTGTTGGCTATCTTGCTTCGATTATGGTTCGAACGACTTCCGCGTGTCTTTTCTTTGATGTTTATAGGATGTGAGGCCTGTGTCTAGGTCTGCAGTATTCCAGCTCACGAAGCATGTGCAAAATGGGGTTTTCCGAAAATACGGGACCCTAATGTAGCACCCCAACTAGTAGGATCCTTATTCTAAGGACCCCAACCCCTAAGCCCTAAACCCTAAACCCTAAACCCCTTATGTTCGGAAACTCCTAAATTTCCTCGTTCACAAATCCAAGCCTTCCCCTACCCTCAGCTCTGCTATTTTGGGACTTCCTGAAGGTCTAGGGTTTAGGGTTTTGGGGTTTAGGTTTAGGGGTTTGGGGGTTTAGGGTTTAGGGGTTTTGGGGTTTAGGTTTGGGGGTTTGGGGGTTTAGGGTTTATAGGGTTAGCCTTTAAACCCTCAACCTTAAACCCCAAACCCTCAACTCTCCTAAACCCTGAGAGAAGCGCTTCTTTTGAGGGGGTCTCCTGACGAACACCCCGCGCACCGAGACTGAAGCAAGAAATGTCACACAAAAGTCACACAAGGATGCGATCTAGGGTTGGGATTTAGGGTTAGGGTTTAGGCCCTTAGGGGTTTAGGGGTTTGGGGATGAAGGTTCTATTTTGGCGCAAGCATCCCAGATTTTCGTCGGGGCGGGGCGGTTGGGCCCTAACAATCCCTACATCCTGGAACCTAATCCCTGCAGGGTTTAGGGTTTAGGGCTTTGGGGTTTAGGGTCTAGGGCTTACCCTAACTCCTAGACACTAAAACCCTGCACGCGTTACCTCAAGGAGCCACGACGACGACATCGTCAAGGGGGAAATCGGGCAAGTGCGGTCCGATGAGCTGAATGACGAGGGCCGCGTCGAAGCCCCGGAGTTCTAATTACTACACTAAAAATATTAGAATTAAGAGTTGCAGCGCCTTGCAAGCTCTGGATCGCTCGAATGTATTCTTCTGTGATTTCTGTGTGAGTTTTCTGTGAGCGATTCTGGGAGTGGTACCTGTGAGTGGGCAGAGGTCGGCCGGGGGGGCGGGGCCGGGGCCCCGGCCCCAGGCTGCTGGTGCGCTATGAGGCGCAGAGCCACACCCTGCTCACACAATTCTCACACAAAACTCACACACCCTCACAGGGATTTGGTGGATTTGGGCCTGGGAGCGGGGGTGTGAGAATTGTGTGAGCGGGGGGTGTGAGAATTGTGTGAGCGGGGTGAGAGGCCTGAGAATTGTGTGAGCGCGGTTTGGGGGGCGGGGTCGGGGGGCCCACGCTCAGGCCCCGCTCACACAATTCTCACACACCCTCACAGGGATTTGGTGGATTTGGGTTTGGGAGCGGGGTGAGAATTGTGTGAGCGGGGCCTGAGAGCGGGGCCGGGGCCTGTGAGAATTGTGTGAGCGGGCTTGAGAGCGGGGCCGCACTCACACAGTAAACTCACACAAAACTCACACAGAACTCACACGAAACTCACACCAAACTCACAAGAAACTCACAGCTCTACAAACTTCGTTCAGATCCTCTCACACCAAAGCTCACAGAAGAATCACACCTGCCGCTCACACGAAACTCACAGCCCCGAAATCTCTCTC